GTGGCTGGCCTTTATTTCCTAGGGGTTTTTAAAATTCCTGTCTGTATATTTATAAAGATATTAGTCTGAAAATTTTCTTTCTTATTTAATATAATGCTCTGTAAACATCCATTAAGTTTAGTTAATAAAGTGTTCTTCAAGTCCTTTGTTATCTGGGTATCAGGGTAATATTGGCTTCATAAAATGTGTTAGAAAGTGTACCCTCCTCTTCTTTTTGGAAAAAAAAATTTTGAGAATTTAATTTTTTTATYTTTTAAATTTTTAGAACAGAGTCATGCTAAGTTACTTAGGTCCTCACTAAGTTGCTGAGGCTGGCCTCGAACTTGAGAACCTCCTGCCTCAGCCTCCTGAGTCACTGGGGTTACAGGTGTGCACCACCACACCCAGCTTCATATAGTCTTTCTGTTCCTTCTTTCTTTTCTCTGTCTAGTCTCTACTGTTTGTGGACCTTCCTGATGGTATCCACAGGTACTTTTGTGTCAATCCTTTCTTTTTATGTCCCTCTGACTTCATGATTCCAATCATCTTACATTTAAGTTTGCTAATTATTTCTCATGCCTTTTCAAACCTGTGGTTATAACCCCTTAGTGAGTTTCCTATCTCATTTTAGCTCCAGAATTTCTACTTGGTTCTTTTGAGAATTAATTAATCCCCCCCCACACTTTTTTTTTTCTTTTTCCAGTACTGGGAATTGAACCCAGGGCCTTTCACATGCTAGGCTACTATCTACCTTTGAACTATATCTCTAGTCATTTATATTTTGAGACAGGGTCTCACTAAGTTGCCCAGACTGGTCTCCAACTTTCAATCCTCCTGCCTCAGGATCTTGAGTTGCTAGAGTTACGGTCTCTGTGTCACTGAGCCTGACCATCACAGTAGGCTTTATGTATTTATTTATTATTTTTTAGTTGTAGGTAGGCACAATGCCTTTATTTTTATTTATTTTTATGTGGTGCTGAACCTCATGCCTCACCCATGCTAGGTGAGCACTTTACCACTGAGCCACAACCCCAACCCCTACAGCAGGCTTTTAATAAAACACAGGTTTTAACAGAATGAGGAATAAGTAACTCCACTACCCACTCCTTTTATTCTTCTGGCTCTTGTTCTCTCTTTTCCTAACTCAGATATTTGAAATAATACTTTCTTGAAAGTCCATGTTTATGGATATAAAAATTTAATAAATATAAACTTCATTATTGTTACACGAAACACAGGAGAGTAAGCTATACAGTTAAAATTAGCCCTAGTAGAGAAAGTATACCAAAGTATTTCATATAGTAGTTGAAAATAATCTGAAGAGGGCGCTGAATTCAACAAAGTTTCCTCACCTCCTGACACTCAGTTTTAAGTGTTGCTAGATCTACTCCAAAATATTTTACATTTTCAGCTTTCAATTTAGTGGAGAGCCATTTTTGTGCAGCGTGAAGTGTACAAACAGGATTCTCAAGAAGAGAGCTGGTTCCTCTGTGTCATGAAAGAGCAAAGAGACTGCACTGATTTTCTAACCCTGACAATACTTAATGACACTAGAGTACATTCCCAAGCATTTTCAGCCCCCTGAATCTCTAAACACTCAGGTACGTAGAAAGTCCACAGGGAGTGAACTTCATGGGACAGCTCTACTGTACCCCATGTGAGACTGCTCTGCGGATATGAGGGACGAGAGTTGTGCCCAGAATGCTTCCTGACTAGATTCTTTTGACTTGTGCACTGAGGTCAACAGAGATGTCAGAAGGCTCAAGGGATCTCTTGAAATAGATCCCTAGCAGGGAGAAATTACTAGAAGACTTTTCATTTATTTTGAATGCATTAATAGTGGACTTGAGATACAGGAAGTGGAGAGAGTCTCAAATGGATTGCAAACAACTGTCACGAAAAGGAAGAAAATCCTTAAACCCCAAAGGGATCATGAAGTAGTGGTGAACAAGCCTGTACCCTTTCCAAGTACAGCCCTAACCACCCAGGGATATGTGACCTCTTTCAGGGCATTTCAATATATGTCATTATATTGTAAACTCAACTGAGTCTAATAAACATAATATTAATATACAGGGTCTCTGATATCAGAATTAGTAGATCATATCAATGAAAATGTTTACCAATTTTTTATGAGAATATGGTTATCCTGTATAAACATTTATTATGTGTTCCTTAATAGGTTACAGATAGAATCTTAATGATGCTTCTATTGTTTCCTAAATAAAGAGCCAAGAAATTTGTTCCAGACCTTTTTCTCAGAGTGCATGAGCCTACATTATATGCATCCTTAACCTCAATAGTTAATTAATTGTAACATAAACATCATGTACCCTCAGTAATCCTTTTTTTTTTTACCCTCGGTAATTCTAATGCAATATTTGTCCCTTTTCAGAAAACCCACTAAATATCCCATAATGCATTTTTAGGAATTAGCAGCTGGTGTTCTGACACAACACCCGTTGAAAAACTCAAGCAAAGGATGCAAAATGGAGGGTAGATCTCCATCAGAACAATGATTTAAAAATGGATTTGACCAGAAATATTTGCCTCAGGAACAAACCCCATCCTGTTTTTTTTTTTTTTTTTTTTTTTTTTGAGATGGTATGTGTGTGTGTCTAACTATGCTGCCAGATTTGGTCTGGGATTCTGGGCTCAAGTGATCTTTTCGCCTCAGCTTACAGAATAGCTGGGACTACAAGTGCATGCCACCTCGCCCGGATTTTACTTCAACTTTTCACGCATTCATTTTACAACATAAGAAGCAATAACAACTTAATACCCCATTACAACTACTGGAGTAGAACTTATCTTTCTCCCAAATGGGACCAGTACTATAGATCAAGAGCACCTCTTGAATTTAATAGGGAAATGAGTCTGGAACTGGAAAGAGGGCTAAAGCAAGAGAGCACCACAAGGTGGCACTGTTTCAGTAGACCTGCAAAAAACCCGACAGCGCCCAGGGAGCTCTCAGGAAGCCCCCAGGGAGCGCTAGTGCTTTGGGGGCTTGGGAAGGGCGGCAGGCCCTCTGCTCCAAGGAAGGACTGAATTTAGGATGGTTGGTGGTCCAGACGTGGCGTTGTGACCGCACTCTCCTATCGGCTCTGCTATTATGAATGGTATCGAGGAGGTCCTGCTGTCCCCAGGAAGCATCGGTTGCATGGCTGAGCCTCTGTCCCTAGGGCCAGCTGGGCCCCAGGATCTCCGAGCAAGGCGGCTAGAGCGGGCCCCAAATTCCCTGAAACGTGGGTGATGAGAAGCAGCCTCCCTCTGCGCGCTTGCGCTTGCTGCGCGCCACCAGAGTGGCTAAAAATGAGTTCCTGCGCCTCATTTCCCCAGCGTGGGTCTCCACATCTGGGCCCTCGGCGTGGGCGCCTGGGTGAGGGTCTCTTGCGCCAATCCGAAGCCGGAGACCCTTGGAGACCTTTGGCCGCACGAAGCCCTACCGCCCGGTTCTCTCTTCTCTGGAGACCAGAGGCGACCCAGGATGAACACAATCCGGGGCCAAGTCCTGGTTTTAATTTTACTCCCAGTGGCGAGGAACTAGGAAGCTCCAAACCCCACAAACAGGAAGGAGGGAAGGCCCTGGAGAGCGGGCAGTAGGAGGGCGATTCCCAGCAGCGCGACTCGGGATGGGCCAGGGGCGGGGGCGGGGGCAGAAACGCGCATCCCATCCCCCACGTGCCGGCGAGAGGGTCCCGGGAACGCGACCGGGTTGTTGGAGCAGCCGGGAGAGGGGCACGCCAGCGGACAGCTGGGGGACGGCGCCGGGGCCGGGGGCCAGGGGCGGAGGCTCCCCCAGGGCCCCCGCCCATCGCCCCCGCGGCCCCGGGGCGCCCTCGCTGTGCCGTAGCCGGGGCGGGGCGTGCGCGTCAGCCCCGGCTAGAAAAGGCGGCGGGGTCGGCCCAGCGAGGTGACAGCAGCACTTAGACGCCAAGTCTGGCCCGACGCCGCCATGAGCGCCGCGCTCTTCAGCCTGGACGGCCCAGCGCGCGGCGCGCCCTGGCCCGCGGAGCCCGCGCCCTTCTACGAGCCAGGCCGGGCGGGCAAGCCGGTACGCGGGGCCGAGCCCGGGGCCCTGGGGGAGCCGGGCGCCGCCGCCCCTGCCATGTACGACGACGAGAGCGCCATCGACTTCAGCGCCTACATCGACTCCATGGCAGCCGTGCCCACCTTGGAGCTGTGCCACGACGAGCTCTTCGCGGACCTCTTCAACAGCAACCATAAGGCGGGCGGCGCGGGCGGCGCGGGCGGCGCGGGCGGCCTGGAGCTACTGCCCGGCGGCCCCGCGCGGCCGCCCGGCCCGGGCCCCGCTGTCCCGCGCCCGCTCAAGCGGGAACCTGACTGGGGCGACAGTGACGCGCCCGGCTCGTTGCTGCCCGCGCAGGTGGCCGCGTGCGCGCAGACGGTGGTGAGCCTGGCGACCTCCGCGCAACCCACACCGCCCACGTCTCCGGAGCCGCCGCGAAGCAGCCCGGGTCCGAGCCCGGCGCCCGGTCCTGCCCGAGAAAAAGGCTCCGGCAAGAGGGGCCCCGACCGCGGCAGCCCGGAGTACCGACAGCGACGCGAGCGCAACAACATCGCGGTGCGCAAGAGTCGCGACAAGGCCAAGCGACGCAACCAGGAGATGCAGCAGAAGCTGGTGGAGTTGTCGGCGGAGAACGAGAAACTGCACCAGCGCGTGGAGCAGCTCACGCGGGACCTGGCCGGCCTCCGGCAGTTCTTCAAACAGCTGCCCAGCCCGTCCTTCCTGTCGTCCGCCGGGGCCGCCGACTGCCGGTAACGCGCGGCCAGGGCCGGGAGAGACTCACCAACGACCGATACCTCAGAATCTACGGGCCCGGAGTGGAGCGCGCCCCAGCCCGGCGCCGCGAGAGTCGCCCGGCGCCTGCTGCAGTTTCTTTGGGACATGTGAGTGAAAGGAAGCTACAGCCTGGACTTACAGTCACTGAACTGCGAGAGAAGCTATACGTGTTTATTTTCCCTTAAATTATTTTTATAATGGTAGCTTTTTCTACATCTTACTCTTATTGAAGCAGCTAAGGTACATTTGTAAAAAAACAAAAACCCTTTCAAACAAAACCTTTGTATTGTAGATAAGAGGAAAAGACTGAGCATGATCACTTTTTATATTAATTTTTACAACATTTGTAAGAATAAAGAAGCATTTAAAATCGCCCCTGCTTCATATATTCGCAATGACTACAGCACACCCGTGCGCCAGGACCCTAAACGGGGCGTGCCAGATCTAGCCTGAGGTGAGCACCTGAGGGCCTTGGGACCAGGTGTGTTTTTCTCTTGGGGGATGGAGCTTCTTAGACAAGAGGGTCAGCTTGCTTTTCGAACATGCCAGAGACTACTTCCACACGTTTTCTTTAGCTTGCCTAAAATACGTCTGGCATGACTAAGCGCGCCCAAGGCTAGCAGCTCTCCAATGGAAGATGCTCTCCCCAAAGCACCTAGACCTGGGTTGGGGCTGGCTGATTTGGGGGCCCCGCTGATAACATCACTAACTCTAGATTGCGGATGAGGGATAGAGGAGGCCTTAAGTGATCCGGAAATTTGTTTGGTTCCTCTTCGGCTTTCCTGGGACTTTGCTTTCACTTTCCCGAGTCTTCAGGACCACAGAGGAGTGTAGACTTTCAAAGTGTGTATAAGGACGAAATAGTCTTGCAGTAGATACAAAGGCAGTCCTCAAGTTATTTTAAACTGGCTATTTTGTTAGCAATTGTAATGTTTCAAGGCTTAATCCAAACAAAGCCATCTGCTTTTTTTCCTAAGAAAACTGGTTATTTGGCACCTTTTCTTGTCTAAGAACTGGGCAAGTTAAGTGTATATTATGTAATTAATTAACCATGGTTTGTCGTCATGTTGAGGAAGAAAACAAAATCTTTAGCATCCAAAGATAATTCATGGCTTTATGTGTATTAAATCTGTGCTAACAAAGTGAATGATGATAAGCGACTGCTCTAAATCTGCGTGATCTTTGCTCCTGTCACAGTGCAATTACCCAGCTTAATCCAACAGGTCATGTGGTGGAGTGAGCTTCTCATATCTCTACTCAGTATACAACTTTATCAATATATATAACTTATTTATAGTTCATGGATAACATTTTAACCTCTGACATAGTTTCCCAGGACTTTTCCCCAAAAAACACTGAACTGCAAAATGCTTAGATTGGACATTTATTGTATCAGAACAGTAATATCACAATGTGGGACAAAATTTTAAGCTTCACAAGGTATTTTTCTTTGGGGAAATGAAAACATACAAGGAAAAGATGACAAATCATAAAATTTTGAATACTATTAAGCTATAATTGTACAAAATATTTATGTCCAATATTATTGCCTAACATATATACAAAATGAAGGTCTCAGGTTTATTAAAGCTCTAGAAACATTCCTAAATTTGTGGAAAGATAATAAAAAAGCCATAGAAAAGATCTTTTATAGTTTACAAAACCATCTTACATTTGTCCCAGAAAAATCGTGTTTCATTTTAAGATCATAAAATAATTCACTCTGTCCATAGTTAACAAATAACTACAAAACTCAGTCCCCACCCCCACCCTTGCAGCCACATTGCAAAGTTCACAAATCCAGTGGCAACTGCTGGCCTTCAGCAGAGTTTCCTCCTGTACTCAGAAGCTCAATTTCCTCCAATCCAATGAAGTTAGTTGGGTGGGTGGTTATGGACTGGACAAAACAACTTAACAGCCCCACCTCCTTTCCGAGGACACTCTTTACTTCATAAGTCTGCAGTGATAAAGGCATGCTGGTTAGAGCAAATAGAGCCAGCCCTGCACGTTTTGTTCCCAGCAACACAGAACAGAACAGGCCCTTTCCCCAGTCCCAGGACCTTCTGTCCTCAAATGGTGAGAAGAGTTGGGTGGGGGGTGCTGCTGTAAAAGCCCCCTTTATTATGGCAAATGAAGGAACTATTTTATTCTGATAACTTAATTCTGTTTTTATACAAGGAACATTTAATACATCTCATGTTTCTTAGTGTATGCTGTGATAAGCTGGCCAAGGGAAGGAATGAGGGACAAGACTTGCAAAGGATCTGCCTGTGCTTCAGCTGGACAGGCAGGCTGGGGCTCAGAGCTGTCTCCACTTCCTTTGGGACACTTCCCCAATCTAGCAACACTTCCGGTCAAAGGATTTCCTGGAACTATGCCCCAAGCTTCCCTCCTCAACAGGATCCTATTTCTTCTTAAATTACACTATGCTAAACACCTCCTCCTGTGTTGTAGTAATGGGACTAAGCTTTTTCTTCACATGCTTAATCTCAGGCAAATTTCCTTTTGATAAGAATTCTGCACAGGGTAACCAGGGTCCCCAACCCTGGCTTGGTCTCCATAGATCAAACTGTAGATCATTTATGGTTAGAGAGTAGGGCAGAAAATAAAAGCTTAAAAGTCTTGGGATAAATGAGATCTTTGGACTTCTGGGAGACACTTGCACAGGAATATTGTGGGCACTCCTCTCCACTGTGCAAGGCACCTGATAAATTTCTACAACTTTCTGTTTCCTTCATTAAGCTGTAACAACCCAGGAGATCAAGTCTGGAGAGGGCAGACAATGTAGCCAAAGCAGACTAAATCTGTGGCTACTTGTGCCCTCCCATCAAGTGGGTGGTCTTACTACCCTCATTCTGAGGCTGGGCTGGTTTCAGTGACTGGCTTCTCCTTMCAGTGAAGAGGCACAGCCCAGCCTGCCTGTCCAGCTGAAGCACAGGCAGATCCTCTGCAAGTAACATCCCAATGGCAGTTAGGAAAAGTACCCAGCCTCTGCCTATCTTTGTTAGGGCCAGACACATGCTGTGAGAGAGAGTGGTCAGAACCCTGGCTGGGGACTGAAGGAGGTTTCAGCAACCGTGGCCCTGCTTGAGACATCAGGTGATACTAGTGGGGCAGAAACTGTCCTGTCTGAGCTACAAGTATCCATGCAGAATAAATGTTGAAGTCACTAARCATTGAGATGATTTATTTTGTAGCAATAAGTATCAGAATCATTCTGGGATATGAACACCACTGATGCCAACTCATTATGATTCTATTATTTTCCCACCTATAAACCAAGCTTGATGAAAAATACCTAGCCTACTACTTATATGTGCTCTGTTCTTTTTCTTTCTTTTTTTAAAAAAAAATTATATATGTATATGTACAAACCCACACCTACACACACCCCCACATTTTAGTTGTCGATGGACCTTTATCTTATTCATTTGCTGAGAATCAAACCCAGTGCTTCACATATGCTAGGCAAGTGCTCCACCACTGAGTCACAATCCCAGCGGGGCCCCCACCCCCACTTTTTTTCCTTTTTGGAAGTACTGGGGTTTGAACCAAGGTGTACTCTACTACTGAGCTACATCCCCAGCCCTTTTTATTTTGTGACAGGGTTTTACTAAGTTGCCAGGGCTGCCTTTAAGCTTGGTATCCTCCTTCCTCAGCTTCCTGAGTAGCTGAGATCACAGGCATGTGCCACTGTGCCCAGTCTTACTGTGCTTTGTAAGAAGTTTTGGCTTCTTTAGCAAAATAAGTTAGAATAATGTCTCAATTGGTGGTCACTGGAGTGATTGGGAGAGTATAAGTTGCTGGTCAAGGCAGAAAGACAAGAAATTAATAATGGAGGTTCTGGCTTTCCTATAGGCTCAACTGTAGCATGGACAATAAGTTCATGGCCCACTCATTCACTCACTCATTGTAGTTTACTATGAGCTTCTGGTCTGGAGGAAGGGTACCAAGCAATAGAGAAAGATGGTCACCAAACAGTACTGGGAGGAGGGTGGCAGGACAGTTAGATACTTCTCTGGAGTCTCTTAAAAATTTTAGCCTTGCTTGTTGGTGTAAGCAGGAAGGAGATAGCCTAGGCATTCCTATACTCCTTTGGAGCAAATACACATAATTTTGACTTTAAAAAAGTCAATAAAAAATCCTTTCTATTTAAAGTGTTAGGTTTGTCTTATATCACCCATAAATGGAGCTTAAATTATAAATTTTTTTATATTTGGGGAAAGTGAACATGGTGAGGTTAAAACAACTGTAATGGCCAACTCACATGCACTATTCATATGAATGTGTATCTGCATATGTRCAAATTGTTTATGTGTGTGTGTGTGTGTGTATTTTTTGGGGGGGATTGAATCTAGGGACACTCAACTACTGGGCCTCATAACATGAGTTACTTAGTGCCTCATCATTGCTGAGGCTGGCTCTGAACTCAACGATCCTCCTGCCTTAGCCTCTCGAGCCACTGGGAGTAGAGGCGTGTGCCACTGCACCAGGCTGTATACCTATTTTTAAATGGCACAATATATGTGTTCCCTTAACTTTTCCTTTTCTGAAACTTAAGGGAATGAACTCCTGAATTCCACATAAATATAATGTTATCATTGAGAAATGATATGTACAGTGACAACCAATTCTATTGTTTTCACATCTGGAGCTTGACTACATTAAACTGAAGGTATAAAATTTACCACTCATGTAACCTTACTAGAAACAGTACATTTGCTCCAGGGAATGGAATTATGGTTCTTATGGAAAGCCCTAATTTGACACTTTAGATTTTGGTGGATGTGCATTCTTACCAGGAAACGGACAAAATCCAGACTGGGTAATTTGCAGCTCATGTCCTTGCATAGGCCTTTTGATAACTTCTTCAATTAGCTACTTTCCAGGATAGATGTAAAGGTCCAAAAGTTGGGGGTAGGGTGAAGAGCCTCCTAAAATGTGTACCTCCAGGCTTGGAAAGTTCCCTTGCTCTGATGGTGTGGGCTCTGAAGTCAGCATCCACAAATACCTAGTGCAGTGATCACCCTGTGCCCCTTTGCACACATATGCATACACATACAACCACAGCACTCAAGCAAACATGTACACAAGTACTTGCACATACACGCTCACATGTGCACGAAGGCACACCTGTCCTCTTGAGCTCTTTTTAAATAGAATTTTATCTATGGGAACATTCTAGTTGAGAAGTTAAATGTATGGGAGGGACAAGGTGCCTCAGCCAGTAGGAAAGCCAAGTGAAGGAGGGAGGAACTGCCAGGGCTTCTTGGCCTTGGAGTCCCTAAAGAGGGTAGGGTTTACCAGGCAACATGAAGTGCTGCCCATTGCTAGAGGCTTCTTGGAGGAAGCACCAAGCTGCCTTCCTGAGGAGCCCTCAGGTGCCCAGTGGGTGACCAGCCTGCTGCACCCAGTCAGGGGTTGGAGCTGCGGAGCCACAAAGCAAGACATCAGCTACTGGGCAGCATGGATCAGTGGGTGAACTCTGCCACACCCAGCTGTTACCAGTTGTGGGTTTATGTGGGAGCATTTTCAGTGCTTTCCCCATCTTTCTCCATGGATATTCATTCTCTGAAACGCCTTATCCGTCATCTTTAGCATCTGCCCATTCCCCAGTCCCCCACTGTGGAAACCTCTGACCTGTCAGCCTTGGGCAGAACCCTCTGACCCAGCATGGACTCTTCTTTCTTCTTCCCTCCCCCAAAAGACAGGAGACAAGGAATCCGCCCTCAGGCACCACTGCCTTGTCTTGTCACCTGCTAAACACTGAAACTTTCATAAGTTCCTGTTACAGGTCTCCTATCTGAGCTGGCTACTAACACTGCCAGTTTGTCACTTCTGCAGGGATTACAATGATTGTGCCTTTGTGGGATGTATTTGGGTAAGATCTATACTCCGTGACAGAAAAAGGTGGGTTCTGCTTTACTGGGATGATGGGGAGATTGGAGAGCACACGTGAGAAAGGCAGTGAGTTCAGTTCTTGGCCCATGATGATTACTGACTTTTACACAATCAGGAAACACTTGCATATATACCTTCTTACAGCCTGGTCTGAGCATCAACCCCTATGTGGGCCACAGGAGCAACAGCTCAGATGAGGTTCTAAGCTAGAACATGGGGTTGCTCAGGAGCCAGTGGGTTTATCTCAGGGGGAACAGAGACTCTTAGAACTCCATAGGAGATGAAAGCCCTATGAAAGCAGGGCTTAGAGGTTAAACTCAGACCAGTGATCTTAAGATATTAGTCACAGATTTATCCATATTGCAATTTAAACGGATAGCCCAGGATTAGCTGAAAGAGGGTGAAAACTGAAAGTGCTCTGCACAGCATGTCCTGAATGCTGGGCCAGGAGAGGAACTGGCAGGGCTGGAGAGGGTGGCCGGCTGAGGAAAGGGGTTTCCACAAGTCAAGTCTGTGCATATTCTGGCTTGAATCAGAGCTGGAATTTGTCCACAGATTCCATGAGGAAAAGACCCCTGTTCAATGGGCCAAAGTTGATCTGGGAATGATCAGCCTTCTCTGTTCCTACCTCCTGCAAGGCTGACCCAAGTCAGCTCCTGAGCCCTTCTCCAGGCTCRATAATTCCAAGAGCCACTTGTGGTGCTTTTACATAGGTTTGACAATACAAGTAGCATCTTAAGGACAGAATTCCCATTTATAAGGCCCAAATTCTGTGATACAGAAACTGTATACTTTGGGGATACTTCTCTTAGAGAAGTACTTTGCTCTACTAAGCCTCAGCACAGTAATTCTCAAGGCAGGAAAATCAGTTTTGAGGGATAATGGTAACATTTTCAGCTACATAAAGTCTGGAATACCCATCATTGAAAAACTAAAGAGCATCTTAGGTAATTCTGTTCTACAACTGTGAAGCTATGGCAGCAGGACACCAACCTCCAGACCATGTAATTATAATCAAAGCCAGTGGGACAGATTCCTGTATTTGCTTCAAGGTTGATCTGGAAATAACTTCATTTTCAAAGAGGAAAGGATCTCATCAGCCTACATGGGCATTTGTTAGTAAGTGATAGTAGAAGGATGTATCCATTTTTCATTTTGTAAGCAGACACAGTTTGTTTGTTTGTTTGTTTGTTTTGCAGTCCTGGGAATCAAACCCAGGTACCTTACAACTAAGCTATATCCCCAGCCCTTTTCATTTTTTTAAAAAAATTTGAGACAGGGTCTCATAAGTTGCTGAGACTGGCCTCGAACTTGTGATCCTCCTCCCTCAGCCTCCCCAGTAGCTGGAATTACAAACATGCACCACTGTGGCTGGTCTGATCCAGGTTTTAATTCTCAAGGTAGGCTAATCAGTGGGATTTGTTGTAACTGAACATAAATGGCAGAGGGCTCTTTCTCTGCAGATGATTGCTCGATTGCTCACTCAGGCTCAAGAATGTTGGGCATACCTGGGCTGGGACTCCCTGTACTTACCCCATCCTCACAGGCAGCAAACCTCAGCAGTGAAGAAATACTGCCCTGCAACAGCTGCAACAACAGGGGAACAGGGCTGGGTTAAAACTATTAAGTACTCATGCAAAAATAACTCTGGTTCTTAAAATTAACAGGCTAAGTCTAAACTGCCTGTCTTTTCTTCAAAGCTTCAGTGGAAGCTTTAAGTCAAACATGACTTTGAAGTTACAATATGGAGACTATTTGTGAAGAGGTACTCTGAGGGCTGGAGAGAGCTCTGGGTATAGGTCCCTCCCAGCTGTGAGTCACACACATCAATACCATAAGGTGGACAAAGAACACGCAAGTGCTCCAATTTTCCCCTGCCCCTGAGTTCCACAGGTACATGTGGAGAATGAGCGTGTGCTCTAGGTACCAGCTCCTACCTTAACCTTCACGCTGCACTGGGGCCTTGAGGGGCAGTCCAGGAAGACTTGCAGGTGCCTCTTGAGAACAGGAGATGTGACCAACTCACAACAGTCTCCACAGAAAAAGGTGCCTCTGTTGTGTGAAAATGCACAGGAAAAACAAACAAGTGAGGAGGCCCAATTAGACGAGTTCTAGCAACAGACACACATTTCTCTAAAAATGAATGTTTGCTGAGGGAGACAAGAGGGTTTTGCTATCAAAATCGACTTCCTGAGATTGGCCAGAGTCTGATTCTATTCTGTTGGATGAATGCAGGCTTTGGTGACAGTGGCTGAAGACTGTTGAGGGGACCCTTGGACAGGCAGAGAATTATCATTTACATGGAGCAGAGGGGAAGGCACCACTATTTTTGGTCCCCTACTGCTTCCACTTGAATCCACGTTCTCTGGCCTCTTCAATGTGATCTGGAGATGACTTGTATACAAAGGCCACCAACCCAGCAGGCATCAAGGCAACATTTGTTCTTGGCTTCCTAAAGAGGGAACAAGTAATGAGCACACCCTTTTCTGCCTGTCACTCTACAAAGTCCAGTTGGGAGGCCAGGGAATTGACTCCAAAGAAACAAACTGCATGGACATCCAGCCCTCACCATGACCCAAGAGGAGGTACAGAGAAAATAGGCAGGGAAGGGATGTCTGTTCAGTGCTGCTCACTGGTGTCTGGTGTCTGGAAAAGCCTGGACCACTTGCACAGGACACTCTACAGAGTCCTCACACTGGTTTCACTTATTCATGTTGATCCTGTCTTTCTTTTTTCTTCTGACTAATAATAAAGGAGCTAAGGACAAAAGCCAGCTCTTTCAAAAGACAGGAATATCTGCAAAACCAACAGGAAAATACTAGTTAGGAAAACCCACAGGTATAGTGGCCTTTTCCTTGCAGCTCAGCAGAGCAGGTTCCCCTCGGAGCTCTTAGGGAAGCTGCTGAAGGCCGCAAGGCTGTGGGGCCTTGGGGCTAGGTCATGCTCTTTGGGGCCTGGGAATTTCAGGGCAGCCTTACCCATCTTCTGGCCTCTGTTCCAATCTCCCATTGCCACACCGGTCACATGTAGGCCATGAGAAAGCGGTGTTCTCATCCACACCAACCACAGTGCCTAGGCCCACGTGAGAGAAAAGCCAGACCTTCAGAGGTAATTTCTGCTCTGATCACCCAGATGACATGTGAACCCTCAGATTGTTTTCTTACTGGTAAATTTATATAAGTCTGAGCTTTTTATAATTTCCACTTATTACACATATAAAATTAAAACAATTTAAAGCAAATTTTAAACTTGCCTACAACAAGACCACCTAACCAAGCATCTTTGTTTTTCCTTGATTTTTTCCCCCTAGAAGCATGCATATTTAAATCGTTAAGGTCAAACCATCCATGGATGTTGCCTTGTGTTTTTGAACTTACTACACAGCTGCTGGAAAGATTGTTATCTTATTGACATATTATAAGGTGACAGATTCCATTCCACCCTCCCCATGTTAGATATTAGGTCTCTAAATTAATTAATTTGTTGATTAATTTTGTAGTACTGGGGATTGAACCCAGGGGGTACTCTATCACTGAGATTCTCCAGCCCCTTTTAGAATTATTTTGAGACAGAGTCTTGTTAAGTTGCAGAGACTGGCCTCTAACTTGCAATCACCTTGTCCTAGCCTCCTGAGTTGCTGGGATCACAGGCTTCTTCCGGATTACTTTAATGGTATGACAGTGAGTGTCTCTGCATAGAAGCCTTTTCTGTATGAAGGCCCTTATTCAGAACAGATTCCTGGAAGTAGAATTATTGCTTCCCAGAGTATGAGTAGTGGGGATATAGAAAAAGCCTTTCAGAAAGTACTTCCTATGAGGACATTTTGATTTACATTGTCCCAATTCACAGAATGCCAGTTTCACTATACTGCACAATCAGTATCTTAAGAATGTGCCTCCTTAACAGGTATAATGAGATTGCTTATTTTAATTCTACTTCTTTCATAAGATAAATCATTCTTATTGGTTTGTTAATATATTCTCAAATAAGATTTCTCTGGTTTCCTTATTGTAATTGTGATTAAGAATGCATGCATTTCTTTTCTACTCCAGCATTTATGATTGATTTATTCAACCAACAAATAAGTATAGGATACYGCTATTTTTTTTTTCTGGATGCTGGGGATCTAACCTAGGACCTCCATGAATGCTAAGTAAGACTGTATCATTAAACCACACCCTATCCTTGATTTTTTTTTTTTTTTTTGCAGTACTAGGGATTAAACCCATGGGCCCTCTACCACTAAGTTATATCCCCTGTCCTTTTTATTTAATTCTGAGACTGAATCTTGATAAGTTGTTGAGGCTTGCCTCAAATTTGTTATCTTCCTGTTTCAGCCTCCCACAGATATGGGAGGTAGTACAGAKGTGTACCACCACACACACAGTCATATCATGCTATTTAGAATGAGATATATGTGGGCCTTGAGGCACAAAGATACAAGGAACATTATCTCCTTCAATGGAATCAGTCTGGTTGGGAAAGCAGATAAATAAACAAGGAATAAAATTATCATGAAATAAATGCTAATAGAGAAAAGGAAAAGTCCTCTGAAAAGTGCAGCAGAGATGCCTTGTGGTCTGGTTTGAGGGCCAGGGAAGCTTCTACAGAAAGGAGTGAGGGGATTGGCAGGCTGACCCTGGCAGTCAAACTTATACCTCTGACAACCCTGCATACCCCAGCGGGGCTGGAGGCTGTGCTAGCATTGAGGGAGGGCAGGCAATACAGCTGTGGAGTTGGCAACACCATAGCTGGGATTGAGATGGTCATGTTTCCTTGGATGTGAAGCATGATTGATAACATCAAGATTATACTGGCAAACTACAGATCATCCTTGAAATGTGATGAATTAGATGCTTAAAGAAAAAGTAAGAAGTGACCTGAGTTTTTAGATAGATAGATGAGTTTCTGTTCCCATTCTTGAAGCAAAATGTTTCATTCTGTTCCCATTCTTGAAGCAAAATGCTTCCTCTACAGAAAATATATCTGTAGAGGGTAAAGCAGAGTTATGGGAAATAGCAGGCTTGGTTTATTAAAATACATTTATGCAATGCAGACTTGAATGACTTCTTAAAAATGAGAATAATAGGTCTTGATTTTTAAAAGGCTGTCCTAGCTAATGACATTGTCCTTGCAAATCTAATCAAAAGCATGTCAAAAGGATGAAAAGTAAAGTCAATAAAGTCCTATAATACAGCCGGAAAGGAATGTGAGCTCATTCATAATAGTCAGATGCAGAAGGAAGTCCAAAGGAGAGAAATGTGTGGCCTGTCCCCAAACACCAGATCATGTCATGCATTGTGRTCAGGTTCCCATCCGGGCCTGTGTGCCCAGCATGGAGCTATTTCATAGCAGTGCTTGGTAAACAACTGCTAGACTAATTATTAAAAATAGGCTGCTACTAAGCAAAGTTCCTTTTTACTGTAGGATGTGCATGGGTGTTAACAGCATTTACATTTATATGGGATTAAGTAATTTCCTTCCAATTAGAGAATAAGGCAAGAGTTGATGAAATGTTTTTCATGGGGTCTATAAACCACTAGAAATCTTTCGGGCAAACTTAAATGAATTTAAGGGATGTTTGGGAAGTGTTATTAAACAGTGTTGAGAACATTCACTTAAATGAGCACCAGAAGAAAAAAATAAACAATTTTTGCCAGCACTGAGGGGTGTGATGCCACCTTCATTGGCTTGCCTGCAGGTTGCTATTAAAAGCTTCATACTTTGCTTGTCTTCTGTACAGAAATCCCTCATAATCAGGTTTGGGAAAAGTATATATCACTTAGTTATTAAAGCTTCTTTTTTAAAAAGGTCTTTCTAAGAGTGTTAAGGAAAGTGCCTCAACTGCAAGCTATCTGGGGTCCTTTTGGGCTAAGCTGACACCGCCAGGTCAATGTACACATTTCTTCAGTTATTCTGCATTCTCTGCTACACCCTTCCCCCTGAAATTTCCTGAAAGAAAGAAGTAGGGGGAAATCACAATTTATAAAACTTCTACCTAAAAGCCGAGACCTGGTTTGAGGATGGGCCTTTGCCATCCCTTCCCACGAAGGCATGCTTCATCTATTCATGGAGCRGTATGCAAAGTCCCTCACCCTTAGTGAGCTATGAATAAAGAAGAATAAATGGTGCGAGAGAGAAAAAAAAAATTGTTGCTGCAAGACTACTTCACCCCAGAAAATAAAGTGGAAAGAAGTCTTTGCATATTCTGGGAACTGACATTCAGAGAAGAGTAGGCCCTGGGCCCTTATTGAGGAATGAGTGCTCTCCCCTCAGGGAGGCTCACATTTCTTAGGAGTGATAAACACCTTCACAGGGATTCTGTTCTGGGAATGTGTTCAGGGTCCTTTCAAGTCCTACTTGAAGAAAATGCTTAATATTTAGCTGTCTGAGACCCAGATGCTCAACTGACTTAGCAGTTGCTGAGAGCTGCTCAATCCCCAGTTCTGACTTACTGCAGATGTAAAGATGCCCAGATGGAGCCAGGCTGGAGACAAATCATCACTGAATCCTGGGCCACTGACACAGGACAAAACAAGGATGAAAGCCTGAGAAGGGAGCATCTGCTATTATTGTAGAGAAGTGAGGACTCCACCCAGGTATGGATTTGAGGGAGTTGGAGCTAGGCAGTTCATGGCTGGCTAGTATACAGGGCAGGGATTCCTGGTAGGAACAGTGCACCCATCTGCTGCCTTGCTGTGGGCATTCCTTGTGGGGCAAGTTTGTCAATCTTGTCACTTTGCCACTGGGCTTTGTTTTCTCTTAATGCCCAGTTGATTGGTTCTTATCTGAGTATCTGGCAACACTCATTGCTGCTGTGATAACACTCTGCTTACACATCACCCTTATCTACCACACGTCTGCAGGGAAGTTGCAGAGGAGGCCTGGAAGCAGAGGAGACCTGCAGGGAATGCAAATGAAAATGCGGAGATGGGAAAAAATATGTAAGAAACTTGGATCAACATAAGGAAAAGATCAGCATCGGGAAAGCAATATGAGAAGGTAAAATACAATCTTTTATATTTCTTCTGAACATGATGGTATGTACCTGTAGTCCCAGTTACTCAGGAGGCCTAGGCAGGAAGATCTCTTGAGACCTGGAGTTCAATACTGGTCTGGGCTAAGTATCAAGAAACTGCCTTCTCTTTATTTTTTTTTAAAAATATTTTATACTTAGTCTAAATTGTTCAGTAAGTTATTATTGATCTAATAGTTTATTTAAATAATAACAATGATATACTCAGTGATTTATAGGCAAGTGACGTGAATGACAATGATGTCATCAAAAATAGAAGAAGGAACTGGAAACACTCTGAGGTACCTGCATTAACTGAGAAGTAGGAGAGTATTATTTGAAAGTGGACTTGAGTGGTTGTAAATGTACATTTCAAACTCTGGGGCAACCACTAAAAAGCATTAAAAAATAAGTATAATTAATATGCAGAGAGAAAAGAAAAAATGGATTCATACAGGATGACCAATTAAAACGAGAAAAGGCAGAGAAAAGGACAAAAAAGAATCAGCGACAATGGACAGAAAACAGTTGTAAATATGATTGGCATCAATTCAATTATATTGATAATCACCAGAAGTGTGGATAGTTTCAATATACAAAAGACAAAGACTAATTAAATAGACAAACATACAAATTTAAAGAGACTGTTCAAAATACAAGGAAGTTCCATTAAATATAAAGGCATAGATAGATTAAGAATAAAGGTGCAGAGAAAGATACACGGTGGGGGCTGGGATTGTGGCTCAGTTATAGAGTGCTTAGTCTAGCACATGCAGGGCCATGGGTTCAATCCTCAGCAACACATGTAAATCAATAAAATAAATATATTGTGTCCAACTATAATAACAACAGAGCTTCAAAATATATGCAGCAAACTGATGGGAAAGAAAAATAAATTCACTACTATAGTTGGAGACCTCAATAGTCTCTATTAATGATTGACAGATCCAACAGGCAGAAAATTAGTAAGAGTAAAGTTGAACTGACAGTAACATCAATCAATAGGATTTATTTATTTATACATTTTTAAACATTTTTTTTAGTTGTAGTTGGACAC